TTCATCTAATTTGTTTGCATTAATATTGTGAGCTTCTCCACTGGTATGGTATAAAAAGATGTATTCATTTACGTTGTTTCTGCCACAACTTGGGCTTGAACCATTCATAACCATATAAAAAGGTGCAGTATCATGTTGGATAACTTTAAAAATAAAAAAAATGATAACAATTGAGATAATTTGGATGCTCGATTGTTCTCGCATTGGGAATCTATCGGCGGATACTTAGTCAAGTCTGACCGATGGGACATCCCATCCCAAAAGAGTTTGTAGTCAAATAATTGAATTCAAACAACAATAATTAAGGTAAGGTTTTGAGGGGGTGGACCTGTCTCAAGTAAAAGAACCTCCTCTCACCTTCTTCAGTACAAGGCCAATCTGAGTAGAGACTTCCATTACTAGAATGACTGAGGGCATAGCTAGTGCATTGTGATGAAGTGAACGGCGACCTGTTCTAAATCAGCCCATAGTCCCAAGAGAAAAGTGAGCCACTATCAAGGCAAATTATTTTTGTTTGTATTCTCCGCTTGAGACCGCATGTTGTACTTGCCCTTGTCTATTCTTCCATCCATGTAGCGAATAAAACGTAAACTATGAGGTGATTTTATTTTGAAAAGCAGTGCTTTTCGAGCCACAGCTTGTTGCCAACTGAGTTTGTCGCTGCGGTTAGCGACTTTTCCGACCATTCTATCGACCCTGTTTCAAAAAGTGAGTAGGCCAACAATGCTTCTCAGCTTTTGTATTTCCTGCACGATGGAGAGTGAGGGAAGATTTGCTCTGATAATGATTTGGGGCTCCTAACTAGGAATAAAAGAACAAATTTAAAAAAAAAATTATAACAAATTTTATTTTTTCAAAGTGCTTATCATTTCTATTTAACATTTTTATTCCCTAATACTCTAGATACATACACCAGATCTACGCAAGTAGTTTGTTGGGGTTGCCCTCGACCGCCATTCCAGTTTTCCATGTGTACCCTTTTTGGAAAAATAATCGCCCACCGCTGATGTAATCCATCAATTCCATGTAGTCCATTTATTTTAGCCAATAACCATAATGTTTAAGTTTATTAATAATAAAGAATAACATGTATCAAATATGTTTTTGTATTAGTTTTGTTTTGGAAATGCGCTGTATATTCAGGCAAGCGCTACACTGAATCAAATTAAATGATTATTGTTGGTTCGTAATGGAATATGCTTTTGTTTTCATCAGCTCATGTTAAAACCTCAGTAGCCAGCTGATCTGACTTACCTTTCTTTCTCCATGCAGAGAGGTAACAGCTCTGCGTAACAGCGGCGTAACATTCCTGGCCTTAAACGGCAGTGTAAAAGTGGCTAATGACTGCCTGAAATCTGGAACCCATCAAAAATATTTCTTCCCTTCAAATGTTCTGCCAGGCCTTTGCTGCAGCAGCCTTCATTGTTTGTTTGGGGGACTTTGTGCACAGAGTCTGTACTTCAATGTGTGAAAATAATGTGCAGTCAACATATGGTCGCAAGCACTTAGAAGCAAGTTAAACATAATCATACCAATAAATGTTTTGATCCCCAGCAGTAAAGGCGTGTGTGATGGGGAATGATTTTAATAATAATAATCAAGATTTGTTTACTTCATCACACCCATATTATGGTTTATCCATCCATCCATCCATCCATCCATCCATCCATCCATCCATCCATCCATCCATCCTCCCTCCCTCTTTTGCTTATCTCGGTGGTGGCAGCCGCTTTTGCAGGGAAGACCAGGTTTTCCTCCCCCAGCCGCTTCATTCGTCTCCCCCCAAGGGATTCTGAGGCAAACCCAGGCCAGGAAGGATAGATACTCACTCACTCCAGAGTATTGTCATGGCTTGTCCTTTGGGCGTCTTCCTGGTAGGACGTGCTTAGAACACCTCATCAGGGAGGAGGCATCCTTATCAGGCTCTTCTGACTGCCGAGGTGCAGTGGCTCTACTCTGAGCCTCTCCCAGATGACCGAGCTTCTCATCCTCTCTCTAAAGCCCCGATGCCACTGAGCGGCGAACAAGTGCGAGTGTTTCTGAAGGCAGTGAATAATATCATATTGGAATACTGGAGTCAACTTGTAAAGTGATCTACTTTTCTTCACCCTTTGATGTTCTACGAGCATAGCTAAATCTTCTTTGAAACTTTTGACTGTATGTCACAATTTCTCTTTCCGCTTCAGCCAAGTCGTCACAAGTCAAATACTTTGACGGTTTTCTTGACTAAAATCATCTTGCCTTTTTCACTTGATGTGATTAGTTCCTTGCTTTTTTCCATCTGCTCTTTCGGCAAGTCTTTCAGCTTTAGAAACCAGGCTACAGCCTGCTTCACTGCTGTCCAACATGAATAACGGTTCATCCATTGGTCCATAGAATTTTGGGCCCTTGTGGCTGAATGACGTGCATTTGAGTCACTTCTTTTGACCTCCAAGTCATCCACATCCAGCAGTCCAGGATCTGGATTTTTAGGCCATGGGTCCTGTGATCTGAGCAAAAAGCTTGTTCCTGAAAGCCAGCTGTCATTTTTCAAAAATGCTTCCACAGTTTGTCCTCTTGAGACATGATCAGCTGCATTTAGAGTGGTGGTGTTATATCTCCACTGAGATGTCTGGGAATGCTCCAGGATCGCCACCACTATTTGCAACGAATGTGTTGAATCCAAGTTTTCTCACTGATCAAGTACTTTAGCACAGCCGTGCTATCAGTCCAAAATAAAGATTTCTGAAGCTCTTTGATCAGGAGTTTATCCATATTTATTGCAACTGTGGCTGCAGGTAGTTCTATTCTAGGAACAGTTGGAGTCCTTACGGGTGCAACCCTTGTCTTTGCCAGGACCACGGTGTCTTGAGAGTCAACCGTTGCAAAGCGCAGCACAAAGTAGCTGGTGGTTTTAGAGGCATTTTTGCAAAGTGATGGAGCTGTGCAGAGACTGGTACATCAAACTTTTTCAATTTTACACATCTGTCAAGTCCAAATCCCTGCAGCTGTGACAGTCTTGAGACAGATCCACTTTTTCCAACTGACAACTACATTGTCAGGCAGTTTGTCATCCCAGCCATATTTCTGCAGACATATATTTTGCAGGATTATTTTACAAGGCAACAACACTGGTGAGAGAAATCCCAATGGATCAAAAATGGAGCCGACTTGAGAAAGCAGGCCTCTCCTAGTGAGTGGTCGATCCCTGTGGGTGATCTTGAACTGATTCGTTACGGCACACCACTGGATGTCCAACGGCCTTTATATTGGCCAAGTAGTCCTCATCCAAATCCAAATCTTGAAATCCTTGCGCTCTTTCCTTTTCTGAGATTGAGTTAAGGAATTTCTTGCTGTTCCCATAAAGTGGATGAAGAGGTACTTGTCCGTTTAGGAAGTGAATGAAATCCTTAAATTTAACTCTTGTATTCTATTCTTTCTTGGCGATCGCAGGTGGATTTTCTCCAAAATTCTTTAAGTTTGTATGGAAGTTTGTTTGCCAATGACTATTAGCTGAGTTGTCCAAGTCTTCCATGTGTTTAATGTCCGTCATTGTGTTAGAACAACCCTTAAGGAATAATGCGAAGGACTGAAGTGCAACACCATCTTCAGGTTTGATTGTTGGCCAAACCATGACCTAGTCATTAACCAAAAACTCCTTGAACATATGCTTTGCTTAGGTATATCCTGCAAGATGTTCTATATGGATAGAGCTCTTCACCAACTCCCGTGGTTGTCTACTTATATACTACAGCAAAACTTGAAGATGATCACAATTGCCACTTTTGTGGCTTTCAATCCCATGTCAATGGCAGCTGTAACTGATTTATATTTCAGAGGGTCACCCTTAAACATCGGAATGGGAAGTTAGGGAAGTAGAGATGCCTTCTGACCACACAGGTCTTCCACCTAATGTGCTATCAAATAGGCATGTGAGTAAATAATAAAAGCATGCCATAATCTTCAACATTATGACAGCTATTTGGAATGTTACATCCGATAACATATCAACTTCTATTTTAAATGAAATCAATGTAAATTATTGACTAATAACAATCAATCTTTACTGTACACTGTACAGAGTCTTGACTGTACACATGAACTATCAACAGTTCAATTTGTACATAATGTAAATAGTCTATTTTTATCTGAACTAACACGAATCACCTTTTTTACCAAATATAAATGAAATTAAGTTAAATCGAATTTCGGCTTCTAAACTGGTCGTACAGGGATCAGTCTTTATCATGAAGTTCGGTACCCCATACTCCTGAAGCATCCCCCACAGATTTTCTCAAGGGACAAGGTCGAATGCCTTATACAAGTCCACAAAACACATTTAGACTGGTTGGGGTAACTCCCATGCACCCTCGAGGACCCTGCCGAGGGTGTAGAGCTACTGTTTTACTGCCAGGATGAAAACTACACTGCCCTTTTGGCCCCTCCTACAGGTGGTGAGCCCTTGAGAAGGGGGGCTCACGTTCTTCTCTCTGGCTGAGCCTGGCCGGGCCCCATCGGTGCAGGCTCGGCTCCAGGTGCTCGTCTTAGAGGCCGACCTTCAGGTCTGGCTCCACAGGCGGGGCATTCATGTTTTCTTGACTTTGAAATGGTGGCGTCAGAATGCACAAGGCATTTGAAGTTGACATTCATTCATTTTTCATTTTTTGTGGACAGATTTTTGAAAAATATATATTTTCAGTCAAAGTATATGTATGTGTGGATGTCAATAAAAATGTACCTCGTATGTATAGCAAAGTGAACTACCATGTAAGTATTATATATTGAGCTGTACTTTTGGACTCTGTTTTTATGTTCCTGTCACAGTTCAGCTTTTGGGTTCACCTCGGTTCAGGTTAAGAATATCTGGTTGTTCAGAACTTTGCAAAAGAAAGGGGTCAATAACAATTAAATGCCAATCAAGTGTTTAATGAAGCCACAGCCACAGTATTTAAAGAAGTCGAACTTCAATTCATGTTCACTGCTTTTTCCTTGTTCTTCCCTCCCCCCCGATCTTTTATTAGGTGTGAAATCTCTAGGCTCGTCACCGACTCTTGAGGGCTCGCTCCAGAATCTTGAGCTGAAGTTCTGCAGCCGTGCAACAGTGAAATGCGCCTCTGGAACCGTGGGAGCTGTAAAAGTGTGTGCCAGGACCCCAGGTGTGTGCAGCTGTGCCCTGTTAAAACTTTACGGCCTGTGTAGGAGGGAGAGAGTGAGACCGACTGGACTGCATTGGGGTGTCTTTTACTTTTCCAAACCTATGCTTTTATGTCCTTCGTTCTGTCTCCTCGCCTTTCTTCTTGATGTTGATTCACTTCCAACTGTGTGATTAAGTTGCTGTTTTCTCCTGTGGTGTTGTCATTGGGCTTTGGTCATGTCTTTGAGGCACGGATGTTATTGGAGACAGAGTCCAACAGGTCAACCTGAACATATGATGTCAAGAGTTTTAAGATTTACTGCAGCTTCGGATATAGACATACAAAGAAATAATATAAGCGCACACATTTTGTTGTTATTGAACATTCAACGTCCATCGTATTATACAGTAGATACGTTGTATGATGATATTAAAGTTTAAGTGTATCAATATCTGACATTTGAAACTCGGTGACTTTTACATTGTTGCGCTTAACTTGACACTGCTTTGTCAGTATGTACTTCACGGGTGTCGTATTTTTTTCAATGGGAACCTTATTCCTGTGACATGTAAAGTATTTTAGTTGGATGGGTTTGCCTTTTGTTGCCTTATTATTATATGTTAAATGTTCTGTCAATTGCTTTGTTACAGCTGCAGCTGTTGTGCAATAGACATAAGGGATTGATTGTATTGCTACCTTTTAGAGCTCTTATTTTATTTCAGCTTTCAGTCTAAGATACAGAATGTTTGATATTTAGCAAAATTTATAATGTGTCTTAACGTCTTGTAATGTTGTGATTACTGGAGAAAACGTTGCTTCTGCCCCGTAGGCTCAGGAGAAGTCGTAAAGGAGAAGCTTGTTCCTCTGATCCAGGGCCCATCCGACACAAAGGAACTTCATATGAGGCGATGGCTGAATGAGAGCCGCAAACCTGAATCCCTTTTGGCTCCTGACCTGCTGGCATTTTCTGTGCAAGTGCCACAGCAAGCAGACGACTGCAGGAACTCAGGTAAAAAACTTCAGCTATTATAAGGTGACATAGAAAGCTGCATTTTCAGAATGCAGTGGAACCTCGATTTAACGTTCCCGCAACTAACGGACTACGGATTTAACGGACAGAAATTAATGTCCAGTCCACTGAAAACACAACTCTCAAAGATACTATTTTTGTTTATTTGTCAAGCCCTTATCTATGGCATCCAGTTGTAGCAGATGCGAAAAAAGGATGTGCGCGAACATTGCGTCTGTTGAAATCTATCAGCTGCTGACAATTGTCTCCCCAGTCAAAAACAAGGTAAGTTGGGACAAACGTGAACACATTTCAGTTTCAAGCTTTCTTACATTTACCAAAGTCTGTAATGTACTGTGCATTTTTCGGTCACGGAAACCCTCAGTAACCTTCTAATTTAGAAGTAGTAAATTGATTCATACAATCAACATTATACATATAAGAAAAAACATCGGAATCAGGTTTTTTAAGCAGACTTTTTTCAATGGAGGCTCTTTTGTCCTTTCTCCACTCTTCAAAGTTAAAACGCAATAAGCACTTGTTTAGTGTGTTATTTCTTCACAGTGAAGTATATTTTCACTTATTTTTGTGTTGCATTTATTTTCAACCACACATAAGTTAAAAAATATCTGAGCCACAGGCGCAAAAAAAAAAATATCATCATAAAATGTAAATCTAACAATTTGGGGGCCGGAACGGATTAACTCATTCAGTACTAGCCAATTCTAGACCCCTTTTAAGAAAAAAAAAAAATTACCCTAAGTCTTGGAAAATTTGAAAAAAAATAAGTATCTGGGGGTGAACGTGTGGAGTGTGAAAAGATATATAAATATATCTTTGGGAGTGAATGAGTTAATTACGTTTCCATTTATTCAAATTTCACATCTTTAATATACTCGTACTTTTATGCTTTCTGTGATATGCACTTATCTTGCACTATCTAGTTGATGTTTGGTCAAAAGCATTACATCACATTCACAATAAAATGTATTCACACATTAACTGGGAAAACAAGAACACAACTAAACAGCTGGTACACACACGTGACGTATTGCATGCGCATATACACAGCAGACCCACAGTATATCTGTCAGAAATATTTATTTCATCTGTTAATACTGCTAAAGTTGAAAAGACGCGATTGTTTGAAAAGTAACAATTTGACCAGACTGCAACATTTTGCTCTGCGCATGTGTCCTGTCAAACATCTGAGAGATGCGTTTGAAAACTGAGTTCCTGTGTTCAAGTGCTCATGTGTCCAAATGTTTGTATGCAACAGACATATTTTGGGTATCTGATTATAGGTCTGTGTTTTGTATGGCGGTCAGGCTGACATCAAAGCCTTTAGTCCACCTATTCAATGTCCCGGCCGTCATCCAGAGGGTGACGGGGAGCCTGTTAGAGCAGTGTTAATGGAATGATGAATGCAATGTTTCAGTCTGGCTGAGATGAAAGGAGGAGTTGCACTCGTCTTAATGAGCTACCCCCTTTGCTTCGATAGGACTGAATCACGGGCCAGCATTTTGTAATCAGGACAATCCAGAATTTTTGCTCATTTGGCCTTTGCATCGAGCACATTTGATTGAGTGCAGGACTGGTTAAGTGGAGAAAAAAAAATCTATGATTAAAGTAACTAATATTCGTCCGTATGAGCCCAGTTGTGTCAGAAAGGTTGCAGGACTAGCGTCACAAAAGACACATTTCAACCCCAAACTACCTATTTTGCTTTCCAAATGTGTGTCAGACAATCAGCCAGTCATCCTACAAAGTGATCCTAGGGTAGGTTCTTCATTCAGTGCATAAGAAGAGGTAACAGTATTGGCAGAACTGGTTCTTGACTCACTAAGATAAATTGTCCGCTCATCGTGCTCTGAGCATCTGACAGTTCCTCTTCAAGAAGAATATTGTCCTACTGGGGCACTTCTTTCCCAAGCTCAATGGGTTTATCAAAGGCACCCGTTGGATAACATCAAGATGTCTGTGATGATGGTGCTGAGCAGGATCATGGAAGATTCCTTCCCAAAGTGCAGGTGTGACAGAGAAGGCTGGGAAAGTGTGTTTCACTCCAGCGGGATTGAAAAGGTTTAGTGCGTAGGTTGGATTTGCAATTTATCTTGTATGACACCAGTCCTGTAAATTTTCTGAAGCACCTCACTCACGTTTGTCATCTTTAACCATGTTTCGCATTTTTAGTATGGAGAGTTATTTATACATATTTTTTGATTTATCTTGAAACTAAAAACACATTTCCTTTCACTTGCATGACCAAAAAAAAGAGTGTTGGGTAATGTTTTGTGTTTTGGATAGGTTCTCTGATCATCATCAAAAAGTGACACGTACAATTAATGAAATAATACAGATAAACCCTGCCTTTGACATCAGTGGAGTACCAGGGTCAGCCAGATATTGCGCATTTACGTCATCATTTAAATTGTGATTTTTGAAATCTTTGATCACATCATTCGCTCAAACCTCCAGCGATACTCTCGTGACTTATTGTTTTGGTGCACGGACTTTTTCAGTCCTCTTTGGCTTGATCTTGGCCTGTCACTCCTGATTGATGAGGGAGGCTTTGGGGGCCTTGGACAGGCCTAATGTTGGGGACCAGAGGGAGCACAGGGCCAGAGGGCGTGTGAGGAGCTTGGCTTTATGCTCAACTTCAGGGCGAGCAGCGGCCTGCAGGTGTTTCCCGCCACCCTGCACCACAGTGACTTGCAACAGTGGAGGAGGGACTGTTAGGTCGGGTGTGCTTTATGATCATAGCGAAGACAAAACGAGAGAGTGAGTGAGGGATAGCATGTGTTCTCCCTAAGCACGCCAGCAGCTGCAAGACAGTGATTTATGCTTTTCTTAGAACTCTTAGCGTTCTGAAAATGTTACATTTAATCAAGCATACTGAGAGTAGAGCAAATGTTAAAGATGTTCCCTATAAAAGACTCCAGTTTTGATCTCTTTACCAAACCACGGAGGCTATGGAAATAAGGGTACAAGCCATCAAAGCAATCTTTAATCTTAATTTATATGTATTGACACTTTCATTAAATGTATCCTTGGACTGTGGTCTGACATTTTATTAAGAACATACAGAATGTGTGAAGTTTCCTAATAGATTTTGGAACTGTTTTCTATTCAGTCTGTCATGCACGAGGGAGACGGAAGTGAAAAAGATGTGCATCCTTCAATGTATGATTTCGGTGTCATGGTATGTGCTTCCTAACTCTGTCATTCACAAATTAGGATAACCTACATCTGAGTATTTATGGGAGATGGTTGGGGGAGGGGGGTCATTTTCTTGTAGGAGGGAGCAACATTGAATAGCTGTCCACTGTGGTCACGAACTGTATCGGAAAGGCTAAACGTACTTCAATTGAATGTCATAACTGAGTTTACCTGTCCACAGCAGTAAAACAGGTGGCATCTTGGTGGAAGCTTTTAGACCAAAGACTAATGAGAGCAGATGGGAAAAAGAAGTGCCACCTGCCTTTGATCTGAATATTTCAGCCTCAGACACTCTCCAGCAAGTGTTGCGCCTGCATGCATTGAAACACACATGCTCTCTTTTCTGTAACTGGAGACTTTGAATGGGTTGCACCGTAGATGAGGTGTGAATTTTGGGATATCCCTTGGTAGTCTCCTCCATTACAATATTTCAAAGACCTGCTGTACTTTCATATGTCCATCTATCATACTCCCTTTCACTCCTGTGCGTGTGTTCATGCGCTCCGTCGAGTGGTAAATCAACAGGCTGGCTTTGTTTCAGGCAGCAGCATGATGGTTTTAAGCTGCTGGCTTGAACTTTGGCTGGCTGATAAATCCAGAGTAGACAAACTTAAACTAAAAATAAATTTCATGCTTCATTATGAGAAAAAGTCTTGTGAGGTACTCAATGAAAAATTAGACCAGACAGACTTTATTCACAAGTCATTTAGCAAAAAGTGCAGAGTCGAAGTCCCAAGTGCTACCACCGCTCGTTTCCTGAAGATGCTTTCACACCAGTTTGCTTTTTTTTTTTGTCTGAATTGAATGAAGTTTGATTTTTGCAATGTTCAAAAAAACAAACCCAGCCTGGAGTTTGCCCAAAGGCAACTGAAGTATTATCAGACCATGAGAGAGAAAATTCTCTGATCTGTTGCATCAAAGATAGAACTCTTTGGCCTCTATGCCAGATGTCATTTTGTTGTTGATGTAGTTTTGCTAATCAGTCACTTCATTTGTGGTACAACTTTGACATTTTCTACGGCCCTGGGCTGAGCCAGAGATGTGTCACAATGTCTAACTTAACCAAAGTGTGATGACTAGTGGCTTTTGCATTGATGGAGAGGGCAGATCTTATCTGCGAGTACTAATGTGAATATGTGAGTCGCTGTAATATTCTCCTGTTCGGTGGAGAGACACGCTTGCTCATTCACGATCGTGGCTTTTTCCCCCAATCACTTACGAGGGACCCCACATCCTCCACTGGTGCCAGATTGAAGCATTTTATGAAGCAGAGGGAATACCAATGCCATCGTTTTTTAAATATTCAGAACAATCAGTGTCACAGGTGTGACGAGTTAGCGTTTGGTCATTCCCGCAACAGTTGGCAATTCCGCATTGTGCAACAAAAATGCTCATTCACAGTTTTGCTTTTCAGCCTGTTTGATTGAGGCGCAGAATGTGAATTCTGACTTGAACCTTCGAGGCCTGGGCAGGAGCTGGGAGAAAAGTCAAGATGGAGGAAAAGATGATTTTAGTAATGGAGAGAGAGATCCTGGATGAGAAATTGCTCCTTTAAATTTAGACGGTGATCTTTCAACTGGACAATGATCCCAAGCACAGAACCAATATATTGAAGGAGTGGCTTGAGGACCACTTGAGTGGCCCGGATAGATCACGGACCACATTCTGAGATCTGAAAATGGCTATGGACCAACACTATTCACCCAATCAGACGTTGCTTGAGAGTTGCCGCAAAGAGTAATGATTGAAGCAGCTGAAAGACAAAGATCAGTGTGCCAATC